ATTGAACTGGAAATGTGAAGGAACTCACAAAGAAATCAGATTTCACAAAAAAAGTCCAAATTGAGCATCAAGTCCTGCAGTCTGAACGTATCTGTCAGATTGTTCAGTCAAATAATACGCCATTATCCTGATTGGTGACATAAAATGTCATGTCGGAGTCAGAATCCAAGGCTATCGGTATGTTAAGGCTGTTTTTCGTGGGTTTTTCCTAAAAACCTGTCAGATAGCAAGATTTAGGATTGTTAAGGGTCGGATTATCAAGTCACGTCTGTACTGCCTTAGTTTCATAAGTGGGCCACTGAGCCGGTCACCGCTGTGTTACCTCATTCAGCAATAGACAGTCACTTGAACTTCCTCTCTGGTTGTTGATTAAACCATTAAAAGGTCATCTCTGTTACATAAAGTCACACAGTCAAAAAAGTTTTTCCCCTTTCTGCTTAAAAAAATGGCGCATATATAACTCAGCACTAGTGCTTCTGAAGAATGCAGAACTCAGTGAAGTCCTGACTTCTCTCTTGACCAACCTCTGCACTGCTTGTTGCAGCTCGAGCACACCAGCTCACCTGTGATGACTCTGCTCGCTGGATATTATATTTGAGCTGGAAACCGACTCTGATGTTTGAACCAGAAATCGATTCTAAAGACTAACTCTGCAGAAAGCTTCACCGTGCAGGTTGACAGGTTCCTTGTGTTTGTTATGTTTGAAATCTGAATCTGTGTTTCCAGACTGCTCAGCCACGGCGATGACTGCTTATTTCACTCATGAGATGTTTTGCGGTTTATAAAAAAAATCACCATACGGACAACAGACATTCATTTAAATGATTAAAAAAATCACCATACGGACAACAGACATTCATTTAAATGGAAATCTTGGGGACTTTCTGATTTCAAACAGTTCATGCACACATTCATTCATGTGACTGAGTCAAATGAGAGCCGATCCTTATGTGTGCATGATTTAATCAAACTAGTGACTGGTTTGATTAGCTGCTGGATTGATTGAATTATACTCCTTATGCGTGCAGAATCTAATCAATCTAGTGACTAATCAAACCAGTCACTAGGCTGATTAAACCAGTAAACCAGAGGAACACGAGGAAGTATTGAATCAGTGCCACTTTCAAAGCTATGATTAGCTAAGAGTTCAAATGTTTCAGCTCTTTTGTGAGATAATCTTTTTTAACTGTGCCAGTGGACATGTTTTTTTTTGTTGTTTTTTTTTTTTTAAATATTACACAACTACTGAAAATATTTCCGTGAACTTCTGCACAAACATTCACTGTGTCCGGGTGATGAGCTCCTCTGACGTTGGCGGTCCCCTGACTATCCCTGCAGTGCAGGCAGCAGATTGACATTTGAGTGAAGCGTCTGCTGGAGGGATTTCTGCGGTTTCTTTAGGTTAAAACACACTCGGCAAGTGTTTGCACGCTTTGGTGTGAAATTACCATGGTGAGCATCATAAACATAACCTTCAGCAGTGCACTGAGGTTAGCATTTAGCTTGAGAAACTGTGTTGCTGAGCTACTAGCATGACAGTAGATGCTTAGTTAAATTATACTCTTTATATAAGATAAGCAACTGAAAAACCACAATATAGTCAGCTTTCATCCCCCAGCTCCATCCCCTGCATTCTAAATGAAGTATGGAAATAAGGAAACATGGATTTTTCTGTGACAATCTGCGCATTTGCACCCCGTCTATCACGTATTCTCTTCTTACCGTTGATCACAAGACCTCAACGTGAATCCCCAGAGCTTCATATATAATGTCTTTCTTTCTGGTCTTATTACACACAAATTAAATATATTATGTACACTTCATTAACAGTGTCCTTCCATTGTTCTGCTTGTGGTGCAGCTGGTTACAGTCACGTTTTAGCTCTGTGCTTTAAATTTTTAAAGAGGTGTTTGAGATTTGTCTCATAGTTGTTATTCTAGCCAAAGAGAGCATTCATTATCACATAAAACACATATTTCTGCTTCTTTTTTTTGCTCCCTTTCAAACCAATACTAAGAACTGTTGAGTCCAAAGGAAAACTTCACTGAACTTACTAAGTTTTATGTCAGTAAGTATATAAACATGACAAAATGCAAACACAGAATCACAAAAATGATTACAGATTGGGTCTCTAACTAAACTTCACCCCAAGTTTCTGCTGCTGATGTTGAATTGTTCCTTATATTTATTGCATCGTCTGCAGTTTAACCAGCAAGGAAAGCTTCTTTTTCAGTTTCATTATGTAAAACCATAAAACTTACAACATTTTCAAGTTACTGAAATTCCCAGAATGCCCAAGAATACTGGAACATAATCCGGTAACTGTGAGAGAAAATGCCAGAAGCAGTGGGATAGAAAAAGTAAAACTGCTCGAAGAAACTCATGACCACTTGACCTGCGACTAAGAATAGCGCAGACTCGACTGGCGAGTTGTGTGACGTAAGGACTGACAGACTTTAAACAGCCTCGCGCATTTAAGTGTGGAGAATGCGATGGGGGTGGAGGGCGGAGGGTGCACACAGCAAAGTTTTGTTCTATAATTAAACACCAAGGAAGAGCACAAGGTTTGACGTACTTTGAGCATTCATGTGGTGCCTTTCTAATTTTGCAACAATACGAGATAGGGGTTGGGTGGGAGGTGGCAGGGAAGATGCTGAAAACCTGTAGTTCAGGGAGAAACGTCAGCTCGTCGGCATCGCGGCCGGATTCCACTCTGACCCTGACCCCGGGACGGTCGTTGAAGAGTTGGAAATCTAACCGGGATTGAAGGATCGTGGGGATCATCTTCAGCAGCGAGAGGTGACTTCAAATAATTATTAGAGTAAATTCAAATTAAACGATGACTGGGCTCTACAAGACTTCACCCATGGACCTCCACGTCACAAAGAGAATGTAAGTACAAGATGTTTTATCTACAACAAGGCTGTTTTTTAAAATCTTTTACTCACCTGTGTCAGTTTTTAAATATCATCCTCTTTTGCAGAGACATAGCATGGAAATCCAGAATACACACCCTCATACAGACTCCATTGCTATGGAGGAAAATCAGCAGGTGTTTTCTTTATTAAATCTAATTTAATATTGTATTTGCTGTTTTCTTTAAAGACGTGAGCTAATCCATAAAACCTCTGTTTTCTCCTCGTCTGCAGACAGGAAACAAACGAAGCAAACCTATTGGGAGAATCTCTGGAGACGCTCCTTTCCAAGAAAAGTAATTTCCATCTGCTTCCAAGCAACACAAAACTAATATCATGCTTGGCTACTGTTTTTTTTTTTCTTTCTGTGTATTGAAGCTACGTTCTCTTGTGTAAAAGGTGGGCAGGTAGCATTTCGGGAATTTCTGAAGTCGGAATTCTGCGAGGAAAGCCTGGACTTCTGGCTCGCCTGTCAGGAGTTCCAAACTTTTGACAGTCCAGAGGAACGAACTCAGCGAGCAGCGAGTATTTATGAAGAGTTTATCAAGGCGGATTCTCCCAAACAGGTAATCTGAATATAGACAAGCTGTAGTGACAACACAGCTTTCTTCATTCTAACTGCATGTCACCGCCGTGTGATCTCTTTCAGGTAAACTTGGACTTCTACACGAGAGAAATCATCAGTCAGAGTCTTCAACAACCAAGTCCGTCGTGTTTCACTGTGGCACAGAAGAAAATCTACAGCCTGATGGAGAACGGCTCCTTCCCACGCTTCATTCAGTCGGAGAACTACCAAGTCCTTTTTCAAGCGGCCTCTAAGCAGAGAGGCCTTGGGAAGCACCGCAAGGCCGTGCGGATAAAGAGCACTTGAGGTGCAACGACGCAACGGCCAAACCTGCAGTGTGACCTCTGCCTCCTGCACAAGGACTGACATCATGCACAGCGCTGATGGCGTAAAGACAGACTGAGGAAGTGCTGCTGATAGACGGTGTGCAGGAGCTTCCCCTTCTCTCAAAATATCACAAAATGTTTGACAGGACTGAAAGACGTGACAGTGACACGGACAGAGGATGGTGCAGATAAGGCCGTCTGGTGCACAAAGAACACTGGACCTCATCTACTGCACAAATGTGCTGTTCAATACTGTGATGGTTCTGACTGACACTGCCAGTGCCTTGAATGTAAACTTGAATATTTATGGACTGTAAGGCAGGTTTATGCAGGTAGATAATATTGTCATGTGTGCATCGTGTAGTGTTGGACTGCTACAGACTTTACTCTGTGGTGAATCCATTTAAATTGTTAAACTGTTTGCAAACCTGAACCAGAAAAGACCTTTGAGTCGTCATGTGAAGGCGTCCTGTGTCCTTACGGTTGAGGTGCTATTGCCACCCAGTGGTGCCTGTGAAGCCTTGCAAGCAAAATTACATGTTGGTGTACTGGTTTGAGGCTGCACGGTGGCTCATGGTTAGCCTCGCAGATAGAAGATCCCCGGTTAGGATGCCTGTGTGGAGTCTCCATGTTCTCCCCGTGCAGCGTGGGTTCTCTCCGAGTTCTCCGGCTTCCTCCCACAGTCCAGAAACATGCTGAGGTTAATTGGTGATTCTAAATTGTCCGTAGGTGTGAATGTGAGTGTGCTTGGTTGTGTCTCCTGCCTTCACCCTGAGTCAGCTGGGATAGACTCCAGCCTCCTCTGTGACTCTAGTGAGGATTAAATGGTCTATAGATGATGGATGGATGGATGTTCTGGTTTGTAGATTTGCAGAAAACGCTCATTATAAAGATGTGAACAGTGAAACTGAATGAGCAGAGGTTCCGTCTCAACTGTAACTTATTGGATGTGGGAATAAACTCTTGTTAATTTTATCATTTAGACATCATGTGCAAACACTTTGAGTGTTACTGATGAAGGATAAGTAAGTCTGTTTGTCTTTTCATACTCACTGTTGCTGCAGTTTTGACCTCTTAAATATGTCCTCAATGGAAAATGCTTGTTGATGGACATGTGAAGCTATTTTTATGCTGCAAAGACATCTTTCTTTTTCTGGAATAAATCATGTTTTCTGCTGCATTATGGAAGGATGCTTATTAACTTTTCTCTCAGTGCTGGATTATGGTGAATTTGACACTTGGTTTTATTTATTTATAAGAATCTAACAGTTTTTTTTAAAACCCCTTTACTTTATCCCGGTGCTGACTTTTAATGTTGGTTCTCACCAAACAAGCAGAAATAATTGGAGTATGTTGCGACAGATGTCCCTGAATTCCCTCACGTGCACTTCAAACCTGGAATAGAACAACATGAAATTGGACTCATATTCATCCTGAGGGCAATTTAATTTGTCTTATTTTACCTGCAGCTCTTCTGGTTTCAGGAGATTCGCCTCGTCTTTAATCTCAGTGGGTCGATTTTTACTATTTTCCTAACTTGCCACCTTATTTAATATTTTTATCTTTAGGTTTAGCTCAATTTTCTTTCCCATTTGCGTCTTTGCTCGCTGTTATGTAAAAAGTTATGAAAGGAAAAGGCTGATGATGAAACTGGAAATGACCACAGGCTAAGACTTCATGCTAATCAGACCAAACAGTCTTCGTACTGTGAGATCATCACTGTCTGCCTCCTTCTGTGGCCACTCTGATGCAAGTGGCAGCAGGTTAAATAGAAGAAATGATGAGATGAAGAATACAGGAAACCATGGAGGGGCATCCAGGGTCACTTTCTGACTGCGTGTGACGGCCACATGATTTAGTCGATGAATGAACGCTTCGCTTGAAGGAAAAGGAAAGTACTGTGCTCGGTAGAGACATGCTGTACATTCACCTATAGTGGCAACAGTAGGCAAAGGTGAGTGTGTGTGACATTACAGAAGCACGCTGATCTATTAAAATGGTGTCAGACACGTATATGCGTTTGTACACACTCACCGCTAGTTTTAGTTATGACAGAGTAGCCTAATAAAATTCTCTACAGGTGATCTATGATGTGTGGTTCAGCCTCTGTTTCACAAGGATTCCAAAGTAAATCAGCATCAAATTAGTCTGTAAAAACCTTCTAAACAAAGCTGTTCCTCTCACACTACATAAATAAACTGCAAACATTAGAAAATAGTTGAATACAGCAGGTTTACGCCACAGCTGCCCTAAACTAACAGCACTGGTAATTACCAAAATCATTTCTTATGTCTCTGTAATGGTCAATACACCAGTATGTAGAAGCTCCTTAACCAAAATTATATTTTTAAAGCTGAAATATAATTATTGTTATCCATGAATTTTGAAATTTACAGTTTTACAAAAAAAAAAAACTGAAATTGCTTTGTTATTTTAATCTACCTATTCTTTTCACTACATTTAAAAAATATACATATTATTTAATTTTCTCATCTTACTTTTGAATTGGACCATACTGGATGCTTTGGCAGTGCTGTTTACCTGACATTCAAGCCTTCACGTACTATAGAGCAGTGAGAGTGCCAAATTACAAAAATAAATCTATCAAAGACTAATAAAAATAAAAGTGGAAATATAAAGACGAGTAAATAAAATGAAAACTGATTAATGTGGAAATATAAAGCAATATCAATCAAAAATGAATCTATAAAAGAAAAGGCTGACAAAAGTAGAAATGTAAAGTCAAATAAATAAAATAATAATAATAATTTATTTATTGTTATTTTTTCTTTTTAA